TGTATATATGTGTGTATATATATGTATATATGTGTGTATATATATGTGTGTAGATATGTGTGTATATATGTGTATATATATATGTATAAATATATATATATATGTATATATGTATATATATATATATATATATATATATACATACAAACAACTTAATGTCTCAAAAAAGAATGTTTAATTTAATAATAATAATGTAAAGGCTGATGTTGATGATTTTACACCAAAGAATCAAAATGATTCATATTTTGCAGCATGAATCCTGACATCAAGCGTTTATAATCATATTAAATATTCATGAATTGTGGTGTTTTCTTGACAGTCATGACGACTACCAGAAGACAGCTGATTGGTTGATGCTGCAAACGAAGCACCGCCCTCAGGTGGCGATTATTTGTGGCTCTGGACTGGGAATGCTCGCGGACACCCTCAAATGTCAGGACACGTTTGCTTATTCCGACATACCAGGATTCCCTCAAAGCACAGGTACTACTGAACACTTGTTTATCTTTTATTATAATTAACAATAATTAACCTGATTAATGATAAAGAAACAGTTGTTTTATTTTATTTCAAACCTAAAGAGTAGAAATGTGTTGCTCATTAGATCAGTACAAGACAAAAAAGAATAAAAACTTCTTTTTTTTTTTTTTGGTAAAATAAAGAAGAAGTTGATAAGAAATTTATTTACTTACTTATCAGTCTGCACTGGTTCCAACACAATATTAAAGCTTAAAAACAAGTAATTGAAGTGAGTTTGTAAAGTTGACCATTTTGTACACAGTTTATCTCATATCTGATCACCAGAACAAACACTGAAATAATCTCAATATAACAAAAACTGAATAAATCTGATTTCACCCAAACAGCTACAGACAAGATTTTCACATTTTATTATCGTTGCACAAAGTGACCAGAACCAAACGGAGAGCGTTGGTCCAGTTAAAGAAGGTCAGACTGCACAATACTGGTTTGGCAGTTTCAAAGCAAAGTACGAACAAGGAGCGAAAGGAGGCTCACCTTGCAGTTCTCCAACAACATCTAGGGCTGAGTGTGAGAACACACAACGAGACGAGTCAGAACTCAAACCAGTGCTGGGACACCAGGCTCCAAACCTGGAGATCTACAAACATCAACAAGAGCAGAGATCAACAGTCTGAAGCTGCAAAATCACCGCTTCACAGTTAAAGAAGGAAAAGAGTAGTTTGATGATAACGTGTGTGTGTGTGTGTGTGTGTGTGTGTGTGTGTGTGTGTGTGTGTGCAGTGCAGGGTCACGCAGGCCGGCTGGTTTTCGGGGAGCTGAAGGGGAAGTCGTGTGTGTGTATGCAGGGTCGTTTCCACATGTATGAAGGACACTCGCTGCTGAAGGTACGCATGCACACGCTCCAAGTTCTCTGCTGCGGCTCTGAATTTTATGTAAAGTGTTTTAGCTCGGAGCTCCCTTGAGCTCTAACAAAACATTTTATCAGATAAAGCTTCAGCGCAGCACTCTTAATAACACTGAACAAGAACATCTGTGACAGCTAATATGTTTACTATGTGGCTGTATCATGTATGTCACTACCTTACCATCATAAATCAGTTCAACTTAATGTTACTCACAACCTGTGCAATAATCTGTCACGCAGACAGTGTAGTGCATGTTAGTTATTACGTTTTTTCTCTCACCATTGACAGCTCCACGGTTTCTCCCTCCCCTCACGTTAAGATTCTGGGTGTCATTCTTGACAGCACTCTCTCTTTTCACTCTCACATCAATAATATCACCCGGTCTGCATACTTCCACCTTGGAAGCATCAACCGTCTCCGTCCATCCCTCTCCCCGTGCTCTGCTTCCATCTTGGTCCACAGTTTGGTCGTTTCTCGGATTGATTACTGCAACTCTCTCCTATTTGGTCTGCCGCAGAAAATTACTCCGTAAGCTTCAAATGGTTCAAAATTCAGCTGCCTGCATCGTTACCAAAACCCCCTCGTTTCACCACATCACCCCAGTTTTACAGCAACTTCACTGGCTTCCAGTCACTTTCAGAGTTCAATTTAAAATCCTGCTGTACACATTCAAGGCCATCCATAACCTCGCCCCTCCCTATCTGTCCCGTCTCCTGCACATTATCACCCATTCACGCTCCCTTCGTTCTTCCTCTTCCATCCGCCTCAACGTGCCTCTCGTCCGCCTCAGCACCATGGGACCCAGAGCCTTTTCTCGCTCTTCCCCCAGACATCTGTAATACTGACTCCCTTCAGACCTTCAAATCACAACTCAAAACTCATCTGTTCAAGTTAGCCTTCTCACTTTCATTTTTTGTTATTTTCTTCTTGATTTAGTGTTTTTATAGCCATTTTATATTGTTTTATTTCATGTTTTTAATGTTGTGAAGTGTCCTTGGGTGGCTTGAAAGGCGCTAACAAATAAAATTCATTTATTTTTATTATTATTGTTATTGTTATTAACCCATCACACCTAAGATGCACTCAGGTGGAGCAGTGGGTG